CCTTATCTCTTTTAATTAGGTCTGGTTTTGCTTTTGCTTTGTCTGAAAATAAGATTACAAAAACAGGATTACCCTGATTTTTTTTTACACTCCAGCTGAAGCATAATAGATTCTGCTCCACCCCGTTACTTTCACTCTGTGTGTACACTTTCAGGTGTGTTTGATGTAAATGACGTATTGTTGGATGAATTCTGGCTTTTGATCCATTCTGCTATCTGCTTCTTTTTTAGGGGAGAGTTCATGCCATTCACATCCACAGTTATGATTGCTAACTGTATTTCCCTCCATCCTATTTTTCCTCCTGTTTGTTTGTCCTCTCTCTCCTTTCACCCTTTCCCTCCTCATCGGTGTTTTGCTCCTGTTCACCACTTTTGCTGGTCTTCCTCCCTTCTGTCAGTCCCTCCCCCTTTACTTACTCTCTTCCCCTTCTGCTTCTCTGTCACTTAAGATAAATTTCTGTATTCAACTGATTGTGTATATTATCCCTCTTTGAGCCACTACTGAAGAGAGTAAGCTTCAAGCAATGCTCATTGCCCACCCTCCACTCTTTCCCTCCACTATAAAAGGTTTTTCTTGCCTCTTCATGTGTAATAATTTGTGTACTCTTCTTTTTCTTCCCTGAATTGTTTTTTTTAATGTCATTCCCTCAAATTCACCTTATTCCCATACCCTCTGTCTCTATATATTCCTTCTAGCTTTATTACTATTAGTGGCAAATTTATAAGCATTACAAGCATCATCTTCCCATGTAGGAATGTAAGCATTTCAGCTCCATTGATTTCTTATGTTTTCTTTTACCTTTTTACCTTTTTGAGCTTCTCTTGGGTCTTGATATTGGAGATCAAATTTTTTGTTCAATGCTGGTCTTCCCCTTATGAAAGCTTGAAATCCTTCTATTCTATTGAATGACCCATTTTTTCCCCTTGAAGTATTATGCTTAATTTTGCCGGGTAAGTGATTCTTGGTTGTAATCCTAACCTTCTGAAATATCTTGTTCCATGACTAATAATCCTTTCACGTTACAGCTGTTAAATTCTGTATAATCCTGATTCTGTCTCCTCAGTATTTGGATTGTTTCTTTCTGGCCACTTGTATTTTTTCCTTGACCTGATAGTTCTGAAATTTGGCTATAATGTTCCTTGGAGTTTTTATTTTGGGATCTCTTTCCTGAGGTGATCAGCGGATTCTTTCAATGCCTCTTTTGCCCTCTGGTTCCAGGATCAGGGCAGTTTTCCTTGACAATTTCTTGAAAGATACTGTCCAGTTGCTCCTTTTTATTGTCCAGGTAGTCCAGTGATTCTGACATTGTGTCTCCTGGATCTGTTTTCCAGGTCAGTTATTTTTCCAATGAGGTATTTTACTTTTTCTTCGTTTTTTGCATTCTTTTGAATTCATTTGATTGATTCTTGATGTCTTATAGAGTTATTAGCTTCCACTTGCCCAATTTTAACTTTTAAGGAGTCATTTTCCTCAATTAGCTTTTGTGCTTCCTTTTCCATTTGGCCAGTTGTACTATTTAAGGAGTTGTTTTCTTCAGTGGATTTTTATGGCCAATGTTACCTTTTAAGCCATTGTTTTCTTTTTCTAAGCTGTTGACTCTTTTTTCATAATGCTCTTGCGTCACTCTCATTTCTTTTCCCAATTCTTCTTCTACCTCTCTAATCTGATTTTTAAGCTCCTTTTTGAGCTCTTCCGTGAGTTCTTTCTGGACTTAAGACCATTTCCCGTTTTTGTTTGGAGCTTTTCCCATAGGTGTTTTGACATTGTTGTCCTCTTTTAAATTTGTTTCTTGATCTTCCCTGTCACCATAATAATTTTCTATGGTCGGGATCTTTTTTGTTCATCTTTTTTGGCCTTTTTCTTTTCTTTTAAATTTGAGCTCTGCTCCTAGGGTGAAAGGGGCACTGTCTCGGGCTTCTTGCATCAGGGACTGTTTACGTGGTGCTGCACTGATGTTGCCCTGGGACCCACCAGGGACTCTTATTTCTGGTGCTATGCTGAGGGGGTGGAGTGGAGAGTGGCTGGTGCTGTTGGAAGCTGCAGGGGTCTGGCAGCTCACTTAGTGCTGAAGCGGGATCCTGGTGTTGGTGTCTGGCATCTGCTGAGGCTGGTGGGGTGTTTCTGCATTTCCCTGGGCTACGCTGAGGCACGGGGTGGTCTGGCTGTTGCAGGCTGTCTGTTTGCCAGGGGCCAGGCTGAAGCTCATGGAGGGGGGCAGGGCTGGAGTGGCATTGGCAGCTGCCTGTTTGCTTAAGTACCCATGAGGTTGACATCTCCCTGTTTGCCCAGGACTACTCTTAAGCATGTGGTGGTTCTCTGAGCTGGAGTCTGCTTATCCCCCTGGCTAGGCTAAGGCGTGTGGGGGATCCCGGTATTGGCATTTCCCTGCTCCACCACACTGGGGTTCAGGGTCTCCCATTGGTTTGCTGAGGTGGAGTTTGCTGCTGGCTTGCTGGAACATTTCCTGGCCTAGACTATACTCTCCTTTTACCTGAGTGGGACAGACCTTTCCTGCCAATCTTCCAAGTTTCTTGGGCTAAAAGATTGTTTTACCCCATTTTTTGCTGGTTCTGCTGTTCCAGAATGTGTTTTGGGGTGGCTGTTTTATGGTTGTTTGGATATGAATATGGGAGAGTTATGGTGATTTACTGCTTATTTCATCATCTTGGTTCCCAGAAGTGGGGATGTTTTCTTTTTTTTTTTTCTTTTTGGTGAGGCAATCGGGGTTAAGTGACTTGCCCAAAGTTACACAGCTAGTAAGTGTTATGTGTCTGAGGTCAGACTTGAACTCAGGTTCTCCTGAATCCAGGCCAGTGCTCTATCCACTGTGCCACCTAGCTGCCCTTGGGGATGTTTTCTTGTAACATTGATGAATTCTGGTGCTTGTGTGCTTAGCACTGTACCTAGCATATTGTAGGTGCTTAATAAATGTTTCTTGACTAACTGAAGATAAGCAGATGGCCAGGCAATAGATGCCCTGAAACTGTTGTCAAACACTCTTCTTCATCTTAGAAATGACCTGAGGCTTTGGAAGCCTGAAGCTTCTGTCTCACGTGGTCCCAGTAAGTCACTCCCCACACATCTCCCCAAATGCCATTCAAGAGGAAATGGGGGTAGTGTTTCATCCTGGATATGTGGAGCAAACTCATCCAGCTTGCTCCCAAAATAGTTTATCATGATTTCAAACTGAACCACCTGAAATTGAGCAAGATGGAGTTATCCTAAGTTCTAGCCATTGGTATTTGGGCTAGGATTTTTTTCTTTTTCTTTTCTGGTATTTGGGTTAGGTTTTTTTTTCTTTTCTTTTCTGGAGATGAGTGGAGGGAAGAGGAGTTGGACCCTGAAGAGTTGAAGTGGTTTTCTCAAAACTAACCCTGATAAGTTACAAAGGGAATTCAGAAGGAAAACCAGTCTCAAAAGCCACAGTTAAGGACTGACGACATAGGTGATTTCTGATGATACTAAAACAGTGTGGAAGGTGTGAAATGCCCTCGTGGGAAGGAGGTAGCTGGAGTGAAAGGTGGATTGTTAGAGATTAATTCCATGTTTCTAACAGGATGAAACAAAGCTGAGAATGCCATTTCACAATTTTGTTTCTGAAAGAACTTATTAAAAAGGCAGCACTAACAGTCTGACATAATGGATAGAGGAAGAGCCTTGGAGTCAGAAAGACCGAGATCAAATCTTTCCTATGACACATGCTAGGATGTAACCATGGGCAAATTACTTGACCTCTCAATGCCCCAGGCAGTATTCTTGGAGGGATTTTCCACACCAAAGGCTCCTGACATCAATTAAATCACAGCCCAGGACCAAATCCTCTGTCTCTCCTCTCCAACAACAAAAATGCAAAGACAAATTGAAGTTTATTTGATTTTATTAAATCTCTCTCCCACAAATGTCTCCAAATTATTGTGGTCATAAAACATTTGAGAAAAGCAAAAGGAATATTTTTATGTGCTTCAGATTGTATTGATGCCTTTAAATTTCTTTTTTTTACATCATAGACATTTCAGGACTATAGGTTTATAGCTAGAAAAGACCTCAGAGATCATGTGTGACATTCCTTCCGCCCAGTGAATCTTCCTTTATTATAAAGAAAAACAGCTAAGCAGAATCAGCAGAAATGGGGATCACAATGTACAGGGGAGCTGACATCCTATGTCCATTGGACTCCTCCCCAAGAATTGTCTTAGGATCACAGGCCCAGCATTGTAAGGAAATCTCATCTAGTCCAATTCCCTGATTGTATAGGTGAGAAAACTAACTCCAGGCTAAATGACTTGCCTAAGATCACATATCATACAAATAGTAACTGTCTGAGTCAGTATTGGAACCTAGGTCCTGTCATTGCAAAATCAGTGCTAATAGTAATGATAATAATAATAGTAATAACGTTTATATAACACTATGTGCCAGGCACTGTGCTAATTGCTTTACAGTTATTGTCTCATCTGATCCTCACAGAAGTAGGTACTGTTATTACAGTTCACAGATAAGGAAACTGAGGCAGGAGAGGTTTAAGTGACTTGCCCAGGTCACACAGTTACTAAGTGTCTAAGGCTAGATTTGAACTCCCATCTTCCTAACTCCAGGCCTGGTGATTATGATGCACAGTGGCACCACCTGGCTGCCTATTCCACCTGTACCTTTAATTTTGATAGAATGTTGATGTCATTCTCTTTGCCATACTTACCCCCCCCCCCCACATGCACATACACACTTAAAATCAGAAATATTCGAAAAGTTCACTTTTTCCCTATGAATTTTATCTCTCTAGATCAAGCCCCAGGTGCTAACACAACTTCATTCCCCCTTCTCCTGGTAAGGTAAAAGGCTAACAAGGCAAAGATTACCAACAAAGTGAGAAAAATGAGCAAGCATTTCTCTAGAAAATGTCATTTCCAACTAAACCATTCTGTTGTTTCATGTGTTTGGGGGAGAATTCCTCTCTGCCTCTGATACTGAAAACATGCTTCTCGTTTTCTGTTTTTCCCCAGACAACAAGGAGATTTTCCTGGCTCGAGCGGTCCACAAGTCCTTCATCGAGGTTAATGAGGAGGGCTCTGAAGCGGCTGCTGCCTCAGGTACTGGGTTCTCTTAAAAAAAATAAAATGAAAATCCAGCATGCCAGGCTTTTGTTTTCAGCCCACTTTCTTCAGTACCCCAAAGGGAACCCACACCTACACGTACGCCCTTCCACTCTGACACCAAGAAGCTGATTTAGGCCATAACTCAGACGCTGAGCTAGTTCTGAACAAGGCATCGTTTCCCAAAGATGATGTGTAGCCTGTGCTGGGTCTCATGTGTCCTGTTAAACTATCCCTCCCCTTCACACTTGGCCTCTAATGAGTGGGAGGAAGGCATTGGCAGGGTTTATCAGGATGCCTTTTCTTGCAGCGCTGCATCTTTGATTTTCATTCTTGCTCTGGAGTGATTGGGGAATTGAGGGGATTACTTCTCCCATCACTGGGAAGTTATTGTATTTTATAAACAGTAACACGAGATCAAAGATAATACCTTGTGTTTAAAAAAAGATTGCCTCGGTATCAATGATATGTCAGGCTCAAACATGACCCCTTTCTCTCATTGGTAAATACTCCTGGGGCCTCCTTCACGCCTCATCGACAGTCTCACCAATGAGTATCCATTGTGTGGCCTTCTCACCCTGGGCCATACCTCTGCTATGCTGACCCTCTCTGTTTTTGAAGAGGCCCTCCTGGAGCCACCATTCTGTGGAGAGGCCCATACTGGCCAGCCTTTAATCCTCTTCTGGCTGTGCTTCTGACTTTCTGGATTTCAGTACCGTGTTCCCTTTCTGCATGCCTTTACCACCACCACCCCACCTCTCAGCTTTCTTTTGTATGTCGTCTTTCCCCATTAGATTTTAAGCTCCTTGAGGGCAGGGACTGTCTTTTTGCTTGTATTTGTATCCCCAGTGCCTAAGAGAGTGATTGGCACATGGTAAGCACTTAATAAATGCTGATTACCTTGTCTGGCTTCCATATTACCACAGAAAGCCCTGGCTACTATGAGCTGTGTTCAAGGATCTCTCTCCCCTTCCCTCTTCCACACCAGTCCCAAATATAGTGGTTTTTACCCACGGGATTTTATGGTGTTGACCATGAAGATGTCATGTCGAGGAATACAGTCTATTCATATGGCTTCTTTCTGGTATCTACCATTCTAGCCTTTGAGTTTTTAGTAGTGCTGGATTTAGAGCCAGAAGTCCTGGATTCAAATTTTAGCTCTGTGTGACCTTTGGCATGTCACGTGATCCCCTGGACTATTGAATCAGCACCAAGATAGCAAACTGCTTGGGTCATAGGGCAACACGGGACTGTATCGATGAGTACCATCATCACAGTCTGTAGGCTTGTATATCTTAGAGCTGGGATAGACCAGAGGCCATTGAGGACAGTTCCTTCATTATGCCAGTGAAAAAGCCAACCTTGCTAAATAGAACGTTCCATTTGACATGTGTTTGGTGTTAAAAAGAAGAATTCTACCTCTTTTCTTTGGTTCAAAAGGAATTAACCTGTCAGATCTCCTTTGGAAAGACACGAAGGTCTTTGTCCCTGAGAATGCCAACAGGATCCTCCCCAGGGGACAGTGACTGAATTGGACTGTTGCTTGTTGTGAGTCATGGAGTACACTTTTAAGCAAAGCAGAACGTTAATGCCGTCTTTTTCTTTTCTTGTCTTTTCTTTTTTTTTGTGCAAAGGAGTGGCCGCTAGGACTCACGTCCTCTCACTCCCGTTTAATTATTAGTGGCTTCTGTAGCATTGGACATAAATCGCCCCTTGCCATTTTTAATCATTTTCAGAGCATAAGTAGAGATGTAATTACTCTGGACCCCTATTTCACTTAAATGAGATTGTTAGTCCTATTTCTTGGTGACACACGGAGCAAGAGTGATTTCTTGGTGAGATGAGGGACCATTTCTGAAGCTTTCAAACCTAAGGATGTCTGGTTCATGAAAGGTGGCAACCCTATGTAACAGCCTGGCTGCTTTTCCCTTCTTCTCCACAGGAATGATCGCCATTAGTCGCATGGCCGTGCTCTATCCCCAAGTTATTGTCGACCATCCATTCTTTTTCCTTATCAGGAATAGGAGAACAGGTGAGTCACAAGTGGTGAACCTTTGTTAATGAGTCACACTGAATCCTTTCCAAACCTGAGGAGACATTGCATTTGGTCCCTTATTTTTCTGAGAACTATCGCCTTTCAAGAGTACTTTGGAGAACAAAAAGAAACTCAGAATAAAAGGGATTTTTTTTTTCGTGCATGGAGTAGACTATATCAGGAGTTGTCCACCTCAGGTTCATGGACCACAGATTTCAAGGAATCCATGAACCTGGACTGGAAAAAAATTACATCTTTATTTTCACTAACCGTTAACTACAATTTGGCATTTCCTCCAATGATTTAAAAACATTATTCAGAGAAAGGGTCCATTGACTTTACCTGACTGCCAAAGGGCAGTCTGTGTCACAAACAAAAGGTTAAGTACACCTGAACTTGATGGCTACCCTCAGCCCTTCCAACTCTCAAATCCTGTGATTCTGTGAAATTTGTCTATCGTGTTGGCAACACCATCCTCCCAGCCCTCAGACTCACAAGCTAGGAGTCATCTCACTGTACCTTCCCTCCCCTCCCCCATCCAAGCTGTTGCCAAGGCTTGTCCATTTCACCTTTGTAATATCTCTCGAATATGTCCCGTTCTCTCCTCTGCCACAGCCCTCACCTGGTGCCTTCACCACCTCTCACCTGGACTGTGGCAATAGCTGCTGGTGGGTTTAAGTCCCTCTCCACTTCAGTCCTTCCTCTGTTCAGCCACCAAAGTGATTTTCCTAAAGTACAGGTCCAATCATGTCACCCCCTGCTTCTTAATCAATAAACTCCAGTGGTTCCCCATTGGGTCCAATATCAAATACATAATGCTTTGCTTGGCTTTCAAAGCTCTTTTTAACACATCCCCCTTCTACCTTTACAGTCTTCTTACGCCTTACTCCGCAATGTGGACTCTTGATAAAGTGAACTGGCCTCCTGGCTATTGTACAAACAAAATGCTCCATCTCTCAGCTCTGGTGGTCCCCCAGGCTTGGAGTGCTCTCCCTTCTCCACTCTACCTGTTGACCTCTCTGACTTCTTCTTAACTCCCAACTAAAATCCCACCTTCTACAGGAAGCCTTCCCCAACCCCTCTTAATTCCCATATCTTACCTCTGTGAATCATCTCATTATTTATCCTCTCTGTAGCTTACTTTGTATAGGCTTGTTTACGTGTTGTCTCCTTCATTCCATTGTAAGCTCTTAAGAGGGCAGAGACTGTGTTTTGCCTCTTTTTGTATCCCCAGGGCTTAGCACTGTGCTTGGCACATAGTAAATGTTTAATAAATGTTTATGGATTGATTAGCACCCTATAAATCATAATCAAAGACACAAAAGTGTCTCTCCCTGACTCTTTTTTGGTGAAATTCTCATTTGTGTTCCCCCCCACCCACTCTGATGTAGGTACCATCTTGTTCATGGGAAGAGTCATGCATCCAGAAGCAATGAACACAAGTGGCCACGATTTTGAGGAGCTGTAAATATTTAATCTCACATCATTAAAGGAAAACTGTCACAAAGCACACCATGTTTGCACCTGGTATCTATAAGGTCTGTGTTCTCCAATGTATACTCTGAACCCTTTCCAAGCCCGCACAGTCATGTGAATGGCCAGCTGGTCTTGTCAAAGAATGCTTTCTGTATTATTGCCATCATGGTCCTCTTGCTGTCCTTGTGGTTACTGTGTTGGTATTGAAAATAAAACCATCTATTGTACACATGAACAGATCTGGTTCTCATTTTCGCATAGTTATATTGAGCCCTGGAGTGTCCTGAGAGGTGAGGGTCTATAGTTCTGTGGAATTGGTGGTGATTCCTGACCTCTTCGGTATCTCGTGGATTTTTTTTTATCTTAAGGAGGGCTACTTTGTTAGCTGCCTGTAATCATCACAGAAAGCATGTGGTTGTCCATAAAATTTGACTTTCGTTCACCTGTAAACCTGAATCACGTGAGAGGTGGTTGCAAAGAAATTCTTTGGTACTCCAGTGGATCTTGACCTCATCAACATGCTTGCCTCACCTGTGTCACCCTTCTCTGTGTCTCCTTCTAAATCCTTCAGAGGAGCTTTACCCCATGTGCCTAAAGCCTTCCTCTGCATCAGAGATTCTTAACCATTTTTTGTCATGGATAGCTGTGGGTGGCTGGTGATGAAGTCTTTCACCCCTTCCCAAAATAAGATTGGTCATCTACATTCATAATGGAAATAAATGCTAAATTTCAGGTAGAGGCTAGTAAAAAGAAAAGCGTCATTTTTCCCCATCCAAGTTCACAGACTTCCTGAAATCTCTCCATGCACCTTTGAATGTCCGTGGACCCCGGGTTAAGAGTCCATGCTCCAGATCTCCTGATGTCAAGCGGATACCAATGGGCTTTTAGCACATGAGCTAAAGATTTAGGTAGCCCTTATTCATGCCCTGGGACGGAGCTGTCCTCTTTCTCTAGTCTTACATCTCTTTGATGTCTGACACCCTTTATGCCAATTCTCAAATGCAGTTCCTCATAGTTAATGTCATGTCCACCATCAGTCAATCAGTCAATCTGCAAACATTTAGTAAGCACCTACTAAGTGCCAGGCACCATGCTAGGTGTTGGGGGTGTGAAGGCATAAGCAAAATATCGCAGTACAGTAGAGAGAGCACTAGCTCTGAAAGCAGAAGAAAAAGGTTCAAATTCTGGCTCTGACCCTTATTACCTACATGACTGTAAGTTAACCTTCTGGGGCCTAAGCTTCCTCATTGTAAAATGAGGGGTTGGGACTATATAACCACTGAATCCCTTTGGCTCCTGAGGGCCATTCTACTCTAAATTAATGACCTTGTGATACCATTGGAGGAGCTAACATGTACACATGTGCCCTATCCTGGTCTTTTCAGTAACCCTCAACATTAATTCATTAGAAACCTTGGCATCCCATGCCTCATAGGAAATGGAAATATGGTCTGTTGTCCCATCCTTGAAATTTATTTCAATAAAGCATGAGATAATATAAACTTCTCTGTGTGTATGTGTGTATATAATATATATAAAATATGTACACACACATGTATGTTATGTGTACACATGTACACATATGTGTATGTATATGCCTGTAGTCTCTCTCTCTACACGTATATATACTGGTCACCTCTTCTCCATTGTATACTTAAACTTTTCTTTACCCTCATACAAAGGCAAGTTTGAAGTGCCACCATTTTACTGCTTCCAGATAGAGCCAAAAGTATGTCAAGAGCCCCAAAGAGACAAAACAAGTAAGCAAATTGGTCATTGAAATCCAGCCCATAAAGAGGAGAACCCTAGACAAGTCACTGGGATTATTAATCAGAACAATCAATTCCTTGAATGTTACTAATATATGCAGCACAGTAGTTAGGTTCAGCTTTTCCTCACACCTATTAAACTTCATTCTGCTGGTGAAAAAGTCATAAATTACTGTGGAAGGAGTTTACTTTTTCAGGTCACTAGTAAAATGTTACCACTGCCTGGAATAACTAACTTAAAGATCCCAGTAGGGCCAAGGCCAAGATTTAACCCAATTCTGTTTCTGAAATAATTTCTGAGTTTCCAAAGTTTGATGTAAAGCAATATTTTCATGGTTTTATTTCTTATGGTTTAGGGGCTTAATTAATTTTTTAGGCCCTTGGTATGAATCGGCATAATCCTTTGCTGTGTAACCATTTTCCATAACACTACAGATACATATAGGACACAAAATGAATTATTTATGAGGCATTTATGGTTATAGGAAATTCTGAGAGTTAATGAGGCATTCTCTCCCTGCCACTAATCATAAAAACAGTTTCCATGTCGGATAGCTTTATATATAGTGGGAGGGAAAATTCTATCATTTACTCAGACCTCTGTGAGACATAAGGCCCAGGATAGGAAATTCTACATTAAAAATGCGAACCATTTTATGTGAAGAGTTTTTAAAAAATGATTCCACTGTATAGTTTTGGGACTATTATGTACCATGGAAAAAAAAGCACAAAATACCTCAGCATCATTAGACCATAGAAATATATCTTAGGGAAAATGTTAAGACTTTTTTTTTTAATACGGTCAATTCCCACATGAGAATTTATGAATGCCCAGGGATTAATAGCCCACCTCGAATTTTCCTACAGCATATATTCTGAAGAGACTTAACGCAATATTAAGAAGGCTGGGTAGAGTATGGAACAGTGCTTCTGTTATGATTAATAACACGTTCTGGCTAGGCTAAATGATATTGATGTCAGCATTGATATTCCAGGCTTGTGGTCGTCTGTGTTCTTAGCTCATTAATTATTTTGTAGCATTGTTTATAATGTCATTTCTGCCTCTCAACTAAATGAGTTATACATAGGTGAAAGCAAGTGTCATTGGGCAGTTGGGTGGATCTTACAAAAGCAATTTTGTATTTTATTAGTATAAGACTTGATTCAGAAAGCCTTCACCTTCAAATGTTTCTGAGGCATTATCTAAACGGAAATAGCTTCTACCTTGTTGCTAATGTTTATTAGGGAATGTTTAAGAGACAGAAGACATGACATTTCATATTTTATTTCCGTTATTTGACTTGAGCATTCTAAGATGGGCCTTTTTTTCTTCCTTTTCCTCTAATATATGTCATTTTTCTACCCTGAAAAAAAATCACAAGTTAGTAAATATACTACTTTTTTTTGTTTAGCCTTATTTCTTTATTTCTCCCTAGTTCCAATCCAGTCTACAAAGTATCTATTCTGCTGTATTTCCAGTAAGGGTACATAGTAAGCCTTATATAAATGTTATTACTATGATGTGATAAATGCTTAATCAGAGTCTGTTCACAATAGAACTGGTCAGTGGTCATCAAGACAAGAAATTGTCTATCCAGGACCATTAGCCTGGTAGCAAATTAGGATCAAAGGATTTAGAGTTGGAAGGGAACACTTTCTAACCTAAACCTCTCATTTTGCAGATGAGGAAACTGAGACCCAGAGAGTTAAGTGATTTCCTCATGCTGCCACAGGAGGAGTGCTGATTTATCATGGGAAGGAGAGAATCTAAAATGTCCGTGTGTTTGCTAGGAAAACAACTTGAGCTACTCTGCAAAAATACAAATCCAATTGGCTTTACTACTCATTAATTGCTCTTCTCTAAGCAGTTCAGGTAGAAGTGAGCATGTTAGCAAACAACCTCACTGAAAGGGAGAAATGGATGAAAACAGAGAGAGAGGGAGTCTGTCTGGCTCGTATCTGAAATGGGGTTGATCTGGTTTTACCAAGTGTTTACAAATTTGCTTGTTCTGGCATCTTCTGGACCATTTCCTTCAGCCTGAATACTACTACTAGTAATAGCGCCAGTTAGTGTTAACACTTTGATTCCTGTTGGTGTGTCTAACAATGTTTTAGCTCTCTTTTTTTTGTGGGGCACTGCTCCACAATATCGGGGCTATTCACAGGGTAAAGATGGCATTGTCCATCTTTGACTGCATCTTGTTCTTTCACAGATAAATTAAGAAAATGCAGGTTCAGTGGGACTTTATTTTAAATCTAGCATGCTCAGGGTGGGTACCATTTTTCTAAATGCATTTTCCAGATAGTTGAGGTTCCCCATCCTTTTTAGGGCCCCAAATGTTAACTCTTTTTTTTTTAATGAAAATCTTTTTTAAACGAGTTGCATGCTTTCATTAGTTTCCTTCATGGTATCCCCAAGAACCTTTTCCTGAAGATTCAGAGTCCTCATTGTAAATATATTATTATTGAGTACCTCTACACTAAATGGTCTTATGTTACTGTTCTTTGTCCTGACTAATTGTTTTCCCTATTTCTCATTGTCTTTTCCCCCCTCCTGCCTACCTCCAGCATTTCCTCTGCACCATTCTCATTTGTGGTCTCTAATTCACAAAAGCAGAAAACCAATTTGTTAGAATTGTTTGTAAAGTAGAGGCAAATGGGCCTTAAGTGAGTTCTTTCAGAGTTATCCTGTGAATAAGTTTCCTGAGCTTCAGTGGAAGGACTTTTTGACATCTCTTTTGGCTGCTCAGAAACCCTTTTTCAGTTCTACAACAAACATTTTTGTGAATTCTTGCTAATGTGGTGGTTAAAAGAACGTATGATCCTTAAGATCAGGGACTGTTTGATTTTTGTATTTGTATCTTAACTGCCTAGAACACAGTTGACACAATGGATGTCAGCTGGATGAATAGTTGAGGTCTCTAGATAAATATAAATATATATATATATATGTATAATAATATATATATACACACATACACATGTATACATATGCATATATAAAAGGAGGGGTTATGGAGCACTTTAGCACAAGAATTTGTCCTTTTCATGAAGATTAAAATATGATGTTTATGGACCAACAGTATTGTAAGTATTCTCCATATAGTAATTAGTCTTTGTTAAGTCATTTTTACCATATAAGAGGGGTTAGAATCCCAACTTGGTCTGCAAAAGCCTAGTTAATTCCTGGTAGAGATAGAGTATGTATTGCACTCATCATTCTAAAGAAACAAACCACTCCGTGTAAGAGTGTTCCTACAGGAAAATGAATTTGAAATGCTAAATCTGGTGCTCCCAAACACATGCCCACCTTCCACGTGGAGGCTGCGATTTTCTTGACTCCTTCAGCTGTGAAAGTGGGAGAATCCGGATAAGGAGCCAGAACAGGCCGGGCACAAACACCACCAGCTCTGGGGAAGAGACCCATGCTCGTTGCAGGTAAGATGTCATGGTGGAGAGAACCCTA